CGAGTTGTTAGAATGGTCATGATCATTTTTATAGCCCTCCTGGCCACTAGGAGAATATCACAGATTATTGGGTGGCACAGCGTGAAGAGAAGGAGAATTTCATTTACACAAAGGAATTCAACGTACAAAGCTTATGAGCTTCCTAAATGTATGAAAGAAACTCAGCGGGAGAGCGCATCGGGAATGTGCGTTCGCCGTTCACTCTCACTGCTAGGAAAACTCTACCTCCTAGATAACTGTAAAGCGGGTAGTGAAGGTACAGTCAAAACTATTCCCAGAGTTTGTGGTCTCCAATCTCTCAGCCATCACTTCGTTTGTCCGGATGTGTTTTTCTTCATGCGATTGCACTGCTGGTCGTAATCTCAGTCGTTTGCGCCAAATGCCCGAATGTCCATGCAGGGGTGAAAAATATTACACACCTTAAATTGACTGAACATGGACTGCAAGGCCAATAATGTAAAAAGAGAGTATACAAAGCCCTTCGCTCTTGGCTCCTATACCTCGTACGAGGTGATTCGATTGTGATTCCGCACGTGATTAGGAGGTACTGAACATTATTATGTAGGAAGGATGAAATCTTCGGGCTAATGCTTCGACGAGCGGAACGCGTGTTGAGATTCAAGGGCCAAGGCCATGCATAAATTACAGTACATGCTTGATGCACGCTTTGAAAATGGGGCTTGACTTGCAAGTCGCACAAAGAGCTGATTCCTTGTTTCCCGGTCAGTGAAGGGCTGCGACGCCAGTGTCGAAAGTCACAGTGCGTGGCTCGAGCATCAGCGCAACTCATTTGCCTCTTTGCAGTGAAGCTATGATGTAATGTGTTGCTGGCAAAACAGGACGAACCCACTCGTAGTGGTGTGTGCCTAGTGACAGTGCTCCGAGTGCAAGACCCGGCAACACCTTCGAATCCAGTAACCGAGAACACATCCTAATCAAAAGTCCATTGGAGGGAAATCTCAGTGAACCACAGACTGAAGCAAAAATCTCCGGTCGCGAGTGTGCAAAAAGGGGCAGACTCGGCTGCTGCCACCGTGCGGAAGGAATCAAGGCAAGGACTTTCGGGCGGGACCGCTGAGGACCTTGCGGGAGTCCTGTGGAGCTCAGCCCTATAGGGCGGTCCATGTGCGCGTTGCCAGCATCTCGTTCTTGGCACCCTCAAATCTTGTTCTGTTGTTTATATCTATGAATCTGTGGTTTCATATCAGATGCACCAGTGGCAGTAGATTTCTGATCATACAAATTGCCAGGCTCAAGAGTCTATCCTCCCTCTGCGATATGGCCACTACGTACGGAAGCACCTGCGCTGAAATTGTTCTCGAAGTGGAGCAGGCAGCACAAAAAACGGATGCTCCACTCAGCTTCCACTCAATGGTCATCGTTTCAGACGCTGACTCGGCAATGTGACAGTTTGCCCCCACTGGGCTGACAGCGTGCGGCCAGTTCCTGTCGACTAAACCCTCCTTGACACCTTGAGAGCGCCGAAAGCGTGTCCATTTATCTAACCTGCTATCCACCTCTACCCCAAGGTCCCCAGAACAACATCTATAAGACCTACACCATCGGGCCACCGTTCTCAACCATGAGCAGCAGAGCAGCCCAGTCTTCTCCTCCTCCGCAATCATGGCCACCTTCAACGCCTCCGACGTGAACCTCCACACGGCGAGCAAGGAGGACGTGCTCTGCTACTATGCCATCTCGGACAACGAGTACAACGGCCATCTGGGGGCGCGGATCTCCTCCATCTTCGTGATCCTCTTCGTCTCGACCGCGTTCACCTTCTTCCCCGTGGTCTCCAAGGGCCTCCCTAGCTGGAAGATCCCGCACAATGTCTACATCTTCGCCCGCTACTTCGGCACGGGCGTCATCCTGGCCACCGCGTTCATCCACCTGCTGGACCCGGCCTACAAGCGCATCGGCCCGAAGACGTGCGTCGGGGTCTCTGGGTACTGGGGCGAGTACTCGTGGTGCGCGGCCATCGTGCTGACGGCCGTCGTGCTGATCTTCCTCCTCGACCTGGCCGCCGAGGTCTACGTGGAGCACAAGTACGGCATCGAGCGCGACGAGTCGGCCACGAGCGCCTTCATCGCCCAGGACCCCTGCCCCTCCCTGCACAGCACCCACGACGTCGACCCGGAAGGGCGCAGCCGCAGCCGCATCCCCGACGGAGAAAAGCCCCTGCCTGCCACCTCCACCACCGCCTCGGCCTCCCCCGACGCCGACGCCGACGCGACCGAAAGGTCCTTCCGGCAGCAGATCGCCGCCTTCCTGATCCTCGAGTTCGGGATCATCTTCCACTCGGTCATCATCGGGCTGAACCTGGGCGTGACGGGGTCCGAGTTCGCCACCCTCTACCCCGTGCTGGTCTTCCACCAGTCCTTCGAGGGGCTGGGCATCGGCGCCCGGCTGTCGGCCATCCCCTTCGCCCGGCACGCCAAGCTGCCCTACCTCCTCTGCCTGGCCTACGGGCTGACCACCCCGATCTCCATCGCGATCGGCCTGGGCCTGCGCACGACCTACAACCCCAACTCGAAGGAGTCGCTGATCATCCAGGGCGTGTTCAACGCCGTCTCCGCGGGCATCCTCATCTACAGTGCGTTGGTGGAGTTGTTGGCCCGCGACTTCTTGTTCGATCCCTGCCGCACGCGCCGGCGGTCCAAGTTGCTGTATATGGTGGGCTGTACGCTGTTGGGGGCGGGGATTATGGCGCTCATTGGGAAGTGGGCGTGAGGGTGGAAGGTTGTCCGCTGGGACTATAGTGGATGAGGGTGGCTGTGGATTGGTGTATATACAAGTTACTGTTTGCGATGGAAAATTAATCCGGGATAATTTGTTGTGTGGCTGGCATTGCATCTATAATGGACCAACTCTCGTTTTCTTCCGCTAGTTCTATGTTTCCGTGACCGGCTCTGCCAGGTAAATGTTTAGCAGTGAGCCCGGCATCCAGCGCGGCTGCGACCGGAGAAACCGGCAGCTAGAACACAAGGACTTTATGAATTAATGTCGGGATTCGTGTCCTCTTTTCCTTAGCAGCTGGTGCAACAATGATGAGGTTGTCACCGGTTACAAGCAAGTCGTTTCATGAGATTCCCAACCGGACGCAGACGAGTACTCTTTCAAAGCTCGTAATCAAGCCAGGACCATGGTAGTAGAAAGGACACGCTTCAAACTCAGTACGGAGTCACTTCATGAAGCATAGACTGCATTAATATATATCATGGGATATGAGAATATACACAACGACGGGCGCCCGTCCTCTCATCCGGTATAGTATAGACAAAAAACGCGCGACTCATGATGATCCGGTCATCAGTCGTCATAACCCCTTTATAGTAAGACCGTGGAAACATCGGGGGAATATTTCTATCCGCCATGGCGGCGACAGGTTGATCGCGTCTAGCAGCAGCACTCGCAGCATTCGAAGCAGCAGAGACCGGCGCAGCTGGGTTTTGTTAGTTGGATTCGTTGAATGAAAGGTTTGGGGCAGGAACTTACACTCCGCAGCAGACGTCTTCGCCTTCACCACCACCACGGAGGCTCATTTGCATCTGTTCGGGCTGGTTCTGTTGGTTGGTGAAATGGTTAGCTTTAGCTTTGGGGGTTTTGATGAAGGGGGGGGGGGGGGGGCAGGAGACGTACGGGCTGGCCGGTGACGACCCGCTCGGTGACAGGGGCCTCAGGGCCGGAGGGCTGCTGCATAGTCACGGTGTTGGCGTCCCAGGTGGGCTGCTCGGTGGGAGCGGACTCCTTGTTGGACGACTTGAACCAGTTGAACATGGTGAAAATGTGATGAGTGAATGTGCTTGAGTGTGAGTGTTGAAGAGGGAGGCGTGACGGTAGTAAGGATTATATATTTTGTGGTGGTGGTCGGGTGTCGACAATTCTGGGAGGGGAAAAAAAAGAGAAACAAAACCCACCCAAGCGGTGGATTCCATCGATTATTTATCTCTTCAAAGTCAATTCGGGGTCCAATGGCCAGGACCCAGTGCGCAGCATCAGCCCTACAGAACAGGCATCAGCGAAAAGCCAGCGATTCGCGATGACTTCATCGTCGTTGGGCGACAGAGGACTGCTCAGGATGATCGATCATCCATGCGGTCTAGTGCTGTGCTGGCCGGGGGGGAAACTGAGGGACGATGATGTGAGTGGTGAGTGTTTCTATTCTGGACAGGGACGTTCAGGGCGCTTGACGTCAGTGGAGCCAGCCCTGTAAATTGCGAAGAGGGTTGTTGCGGTGAGCGTGCGCGTGGTAGAGGAGAGCGTGGCAGTATGGGTTGTACAGCCATCGGGCCGTCGAAGCGAAGCATGCAAGAACACGGGCTGTTGTGCACCGAGCAAAACGAGTGCTAGGCAGCCTCGTTTCGGGCCCCACCCATTATTGCCAGTTTTTGCGCCAGTCATTTCCCCCTCAAGCTTTGGTCAAGCTTTGCTTGGAAGCTTGGCCAATCAACGACGCGCTCTTGGACCCAGCGGCAATGGGGCGGGCTGAAGAAGGATCTTTCTGGCTGTTGGACCGCTCCGCTTGACGCCGCATAGGATACTGATAATAATACGAGTACGTGGTTCCACTGAGGCTGGTGACGGGTGATGGTTCAGCGACGTTTTGACTCAAGGTTTGAGTTTGTGCACACCTGACTGGTTTCTCATAATCATTTCCCCAGTTGGAGATGAACTGGCTCTCTACTAGGTACTGTGAGTCTGTGACAGTCAGATCGTGTGTCGGCGGGTGGGGTCCGCGGACCCCGAGACACGAAGAATTATTCACATTATCGGCGCTAAGTGGTAAGTCGAGAATATTGTGGCAGCAGTGTTGCCCTCCAATGTCAGTGGCTTAGCCCCTGGCCCCCATTTACACTGCCTCGGAAATAGTCTAGTCTGCACGGATTCAGCGGTGTGTGTGTGTGTGTATTTTGACGGTCGGAACTTCGGAAGTCCAAAGCTTCGCCTCGAACATTCCCCTACCCGAGTGGGTCAAAGCCCAAAAAAAGGGACTGGCTCGACTACAAAGGAGAAAAATTGATTCTGAGGCTGACGCGAGTAGGCACACAATTTATTGAAAGTCTGACCATTCTGCGCAAGGAATGATAAGCACATACAATCCCATCATGCTCTCTACCCGATCCACCCATCCCGTACTCTCACCTCGTAGCTACCACGGGTTACCCCAATACGCATTGTCTTGTCTGTCTGAAGTGGAAGGGGCAATCACAGTCTCTACACATCGCAATTGGCCCCAATCTCCCGAGCCAGAAGCTGCTGCTTCTCTGACACCGCTTCTTTCGAGCCCCTGCAGCACCCGGCGCCACGGGCACATCTCTTGGCCCGCTTGTCAGCGCACCGAGCCAGCGCACACGAGATAATCTTCCAGACAACCACCCCGGTAGTACAAACGACCAACCCCGCGACCATCCCCAACAACGCAGGCACCATCGCCGGGATGATGAGACGCCAGAAGTTGGGGTTGGACCGGTGGTGGTGCACGTAGGCGTTCATCGACGGGCCAGCCACGGCAAACGGGGACTTGGCCTCGCTGCTGTTGTAGCGGTGGTGTCCCGGCCCATCAGTTGTGACGACCGTGTTGTAGGGCTGTGTACAGGGTCTATCACCGCAGGAGACGTGGACCTCCGGCGTCGCATGCAAGCTCTTGTGGAGGGCCTTCTTCTGCTCCTTGCGCCAGCACTTGTACTTACCCACCAGCATCTTCCAGTACTGGGCGTGCCACACCTTGTTGCCGTGGCCGTGGGACGCATGGTAGTCGAGGAGCGGCTCGATGATGATTTGGGAGATGGAGAGGTCGTCTTCGTCGGCGTCGCGAGACAAGCGGACGTGGATCACGCTTGTGGTGGCGGGGCGACCGGTGGAATCAAAGAACTTGACCTCCACGAAGTACATGTCGCCCACCTGGGAGTCGACCCTCGGTGGGAGGTATTCGATGTCCACCCCGTAGGTCAGGAGGACGGTCTCGACAGTGGCGCTGTCAATGTTGCCGTCGTGGTGCATCTGGGCTGGAAGTTGCATGGGGTATCCGGCGGGAAAGACGCTGACGTTGTTGACCAGGAGGGCATTGTGTTCGGTTCGGAGGTTCATTGCCTAGGGACAGTATCAGCTTTCGATCCTGGTCTCTCAGGATAAGGGGAATCTGAGTCCATACCACGAAGGGTGTCGAGGTTGTGTTCTCAACTAGGCCCTTGTCATCCTCTGGAGAACATTGGAGACACGGTAGGTGGACCTCATGTCCGGTCACAGTGAGAAAAGAGGGACGAGAATTGGGCGCGTTGGACAGTTGCTTTTGCGAGGAGTCGCCAGTCTCCGGGACTGGTGAGGCCAAAGAGCCCACCACCCAGATACTGGTGACGAGAAAGGAGCGAAGTTGCATTGGGTAAAGAGACGAAACAATGTTCAATGTGAGAGGTCTGAAACAGTCAACGAGCGACGTGGGGTTAGTGCACAACTTGGATGTGCTGAGCGAAGTTGTCAGTGGATATTCTCATGAACTCATGAAATCAAGACTCGAACTAGTGAGAGATTAATCTCTTGGTCTGGGCTGTCATACAGTTATCAAGGGTGCAGATACAGTGAATGAGAAAGGGTAGATATGGCCGTAAGGGTAATAGGCAGCCATGTAACAGATCCAGCCCTATAAGGGGAGAGCCTCCCGAGTCCGCTTCCGCGGACCCCGAGGAGCAACGGTAGGGCTGACCGCGTCACCGCACCATCATCTTTCTTTTCTGACTCCTCTGCATGATGACCACCTTCGCGCTAAAGAAATAGGTTCTCATAGATCTCTTGTATCGACCCCACGGACCACTGCTGAATGCTTGAATTGACTGTTGCAGTGGTATCAATCTTGAAGATCGATCCCGTTGGCAGGCCCAGCATTTCGTTCGGAACACTTCCGGCGCCCGACCCATACTAGGTAGTTGGCCCCATCGCAGAAAGAGTCGCATGACCATTGACTACATTTCTTGGTCCTAATCGATGGGTCCCGCAAAGTGAACGACGATCTGGTCAGCAAGACGCGTGGTAGTCAACGTGTCTTGAAGCTTGGAGACTCCTGTCACTGTTCCAGCCCTGTTTTGACAGACTCCTGGTAAAGCAATCCGACTTTATGAGCAAGCAGTGGGGCATAAGCTCACTATGCCTTGGTGAACATCATATGACAATTTGACTCAGATGAGTCTGTCGATTCAGACATAAAACATAGGTCAGTTGTGCGATCCTTAACTACAATATGTCAATGGGCCTCTGCAGAGCTCTCACGAAGAAATCTTAAACTAATCTTTGAGATTTGGACACCCAGTCAGAGTGAGCAGTAAGACTTGGAATATGCACAGCCTATTCAGAAAAACTATTCAACCCTTTTTCGCCATCAAACTGTGAATAAATCTTGGATCTTGAAGTGGCCGCACACCCTTGAAACCGATCAGGTTCCTGTGTCACATATGGAACCTCAGTGCATTATATAAAAAGGGACTAGCTTAGGCAGCAAGCTCATCGAGATGATCCGTGCTTTTTGGCTAGCTATCATCTTCGCCGGCTAACACTACCCCAAATGGGGATTTGTCTTAGCACGGGAAAATACCTTAGACAAAATGTCTTAGACTACGCAATTTGAGGCCGGTTCACCGTTGACAGATTTTCTCTCTGGGGGTCTGGGGGGAGAGTATCTTGTTTGCCTTACGATGCTACAGCATTATCTCTACGCTCTCTAGCCCTGAGCCAAGTCGATGCGGCTGCCTTTATCACAAGTGAAAATGAAAATGCGTGGATGAATTTATGATGTAAGGAAGAGGATGACACTTAATGAAAGAGTGAGTAGTCACGGGTGTTGTTCTCTATTTCCTTATTAGTCTGTCAGCTGATACTGGGCCTATGCATGGAAATGATATCCCTGAGCGCTACTTTACTTCAACCATGCTCTCTGTCGCCCCGAAAGACCAAAGTTGTTGATCATCAAACAGCACTCTTTATTCCCAAATGAGAGGTGCGAAAGCCCTGCATGAGCCAGGCCGAAGTATGTTTCCGTCAGGGACAGGATATGAATGTATCGTACTGGTGAATGTAAACTCTGAGTGTGGCAGCAACCTGCCGTCCCGCGCCGTTCCACGCCACGACGCTCCGTGCTAGGCTCCCATGAAACTGAGACATCGACGATGCAATGTAACCTCAATCAAGCGACAGGCAATCGCACTGGTGCTCTTCAGGCCAAGATGAGTCCCCGTTGCTGGCTACCACCACAGGCGGCGGTGGACACGGCTCGATGTGCTAGGAGTCTCAAAAAACAATACAGTTGACGGCCATTTGGTACAGTAGTTGAGTTTCACTGGCGCCTAGAGTTGAGGCGTAGTAAGTCACTTGCGGAGATACTCTTGCCGTTCTTTTCGGGGCAAGGCCATTGAATACCTGTCACCGTCTGATTCCTTGAGCATCGCTCACAACTCCGCAACCCGTTTTCACCTTTACAGCAGACTCATTCGGTGTCTTCTCGTAATAATCAGGGGAGTTAGGAAAGCATTAGCTAGAATAGTAGTTCAAATTGTCGAAGTCGGAGGTGATGCTGTAAGTAATCGCTTATAATTTGAATCAGACATGGAAAGGCTCAAAGATTTGAATTCGAATGCATCTATATAGGCCATAGACATGCGAGTTAGCAACCCGTGGAAGCCAACTGCACGCTTCCTTTTCTGTACCCCTCGAGAGATTTCCATGGATTTCTGTTGTTGTGTGTCTCGTGAGCATGGTCTGAACTCGCAAATTTAGAGAATTATCTGCCAGCAAGCTGCTTTTGCAGTAATCTTTTATCTGAACCCATCTTGCGACTCCTGTATGATTAAGGAAAAATGCCCTAGCCAGTCGCGCCCCGAACTGTGTGCTACTGCAACCCCAGAACCCTGGTGCCTGCCATTCAGTTGCGCATTTGGCTACAGATCTGACGACCGTGACACCAGATGCAACATACTCGTGCCCGGAGATGCACCCTGGGTCATTAACAGCCGTGTAAGGTGCAACGTCCCTTAGATTTCAACCTCCTCAAGTTCCATAACTGATCTGAATGGGATGACTCCAGTGAAGTCTGCATTTAGAAACGATCTAGGAAATCAGCGGAATTATCATACCATTCTACTCTACCAACACGAACATCGACCCTCAAAGACCCCCAACTTATCGTGATTCACCTTGCTCCCAGAACCTCCGTCCCTACTTTGCCTGCCGGCCCTTCTCGGGATTGGCCAGAATCTCCGCTTCCCACCGCGGATCTTCCGACTCCTTCACAGGCGCCCAACCGAGTTGAATCTTGAAAACCCCACAATCAGCACACTTCCATCCATCAGTCCCCTCGAGACGGAAGTACAAGAACGCACCTGCATCACCTTCTGATCCCAGTCCTTGGTGAAGCTTTTGACTTTCCCATCGCTGATCTCAAAGATGGCCGCCGCGCTCCACTGCGCCCGCTTGGGGGGGTCGGACCTCTCGATCCCCTTGTACGGCTTCCCCGCATGCGACCCCTCGGCGGTGTACCGCAGCAGGACGTGGCCGTCCTTGGCCCAGGCCTGATCGTACCGCACGATGTGCAGGTCGTTGACCGACTGCATGACGGTGGCGTGCGAGTCGGCGTAGTCCATCGGGGTGCAGCAGCCGGGAAATGTGGACGGGCTCCAGAACCAGCTGTCTGGGTGGCAGAGGTGGCGGACGGACTCGGCGCCGTGGTTCTCGGTCGGGGAGTAGGCGATGGCCATGTATTGCTTTGCGGTGGTGATGTTGCGCTAGAGTGAGGGTGGTGGGTGAGTATGGTTAGGTTGGGGTCTTTTATGGTGAGGCTTGTGTTGCTTGGGAGGATTGGGGGTGAATGAGCGGGACTATACCTCTTCTTCGGGGGTTTGTGAGGCGGAGATTATGGTTGGCGGTGCTTGAGCGCTTGGAGACATGGTGGCTGTCTTGAACGTACTTCAGCTGCTGTGAGGCTTTGTAGAGACGATTGAGAAGATGTGAGGTTTTCCTCGCATTGATAGCATGGGCAGTGTGTGTTTACATGGAGCGATTTCGCTCTGGGCTGTTTCGGTGGGCGGGAGGTCCCGGAGTCATTATGACGTGCATGATGGTATCTCAACGACAGGTTTGTTGATCCACAGTATTTGTTATTGGAGCCAATGATGGGTTATCAAGATGATGCTCTGTGCTATCTTGTTCATTTCGTTTTCCGGTTCTTGTACCTTGCGACTTGACTGTGGAGTTGAGGGGTTCCCGGTCCTCGTGCCGAGTTAAGCATGTTGATGCTTGTCCAGATATTGCTGTGTAAGCAAAAGGGCCTTGCTTATCGAACTTTATTATAGTCAAACTAGGGATTATACCCCACTGACTCCGTCGTTTGCTGTCAAACGGCGTGGAGAATGGATGATATGGGTGGGGGCTTTGCCAGGCAAGACGAATGCGTCGCTGCATGCATCTACACAAATCGTTATCGTCCATCTTTGGCCCAATTGCGCATGAGAATCCTTGTAATGCTCTGTTGAATGATAATAGCTGTCATGAGAGTTTACCTTCTATATCATGTCCTGTGGTTCTGAACGACTCAATCTTTCAGTTGTTCATGCTACTGTCATATTCTGTATTGTCGAAACAGCACTGGGCCCACTAAACCACTTTCGGCAGTGCGGGGTAATGGTCCCTGACAGCCCAAACAACACAACTCCGAGTCTTTGACCAGCTTGCGGCCATCCTGACAATCCTACTTGTACGTGTTTTCGCCAGTGCTCCTCCGGTGACGTATGTTCACTCTCTATAAGATGCAGGCGCCTCTTTACTCCGAACTGAGCGTCGATGAGAAAGGAGCCTCACCACTCTCCCCGCCATCAATCAATCGCCTCCAGCAAGTCCCTCTCGCACCTTCACCCTCTCATGCGGATCATGCGATTTATTCTATGACGACGCTGCGGCTGGTTTGTTGCGCAAGCCGTCATGCGCAAGCTCTTTTCTACCCCAGGGAACAAATAGTATTCCAGCATTAGGGCACGGGTGATATGCCAGGGAAAGAAGAAATATCAAGGCCAGCATGGACATGGCAAAATTCCCACGTCTTGATTAGCCCCTTTCTCGTAACAAATCTCTTGCAGATATACGGCGCATCTCGACTATGTCCGAAACAATGAGAAGCCACCTGATGCCCGAAAAAAGACGGTGATTTCCTCCTTGGCTTGACTGAGGCAGCCGTGCCCGGTTTGTCATTTATAAGGAGAGCCGCAATGACTATTACACCCAAAAAGGGGGTTGGAAATGAGATTCCATGTAGGGGCAGAAACGCATGATCGGAGACGATGCAGGGTGTCATACCATCTCCGATGACCCCTCCATGCATTACTTTAGTGCAGATCATCGCCGGTAATACTAATACCGGTGAGCGCAAGCATGCTAAGTTACTCCTGCCCCGCAACTTCCCTCCTCCATCAACAAACATCCCACCACCACCACCGCCGCAACAACACATCCAACAACTGCTACGCAGAAGCCATGGCGCCTCGAAAAGCTCTCTTCGTCATTGACATCCAGAAAGAGCTTGCCGTCGATCCCACAACCAGAGTCCCGCATGCGGATCGAGTCATCGCGTCCGCCGAGGGAACCCTCAACGCCGTCCGGTCGGTCATCGATTCCTGCCGCGAGAAGAGCCAACCATCTCCGTGGGCTATCTATTTCATTCAGCACGAAGAAAGCTCTGCGAGTGGGACGCTGCTGCGGGGCAGCGAGCCGTGGGAACTGGTGTTCGCCCCGCGGGTGGATGTCGAGGAGGAAATCGTGGTCGCGAAGAAGACTGGTTAGTATCTGCTTACCGGACTCTGCGCATGACGGTCCGTTGACAATGGGCTGAAAACTCCAGGCAACACGTTCGAGTCGAATCCTACCCTCTCGACGCGCCTCCGCAATGCCGATATCAACGAAATAGTGGCTCTGGGTCTGCAAAGTGAGAAGTGTGTCGAAGCGACCTGCAAGGGTGCGTTGGCGGCGGGGTTCCGCGTGACTCTCCTTGCTGGCGCGCACTCGACGTACGACTCGGAGGGAAAGACGGCAACAGAGCTCGAGCGCGAGGTTGAGCGGCGTCTGTCGACTCGTGGGGCTCGTGTGTTGCGGTGGGAAGAGGCGGCTTCACAGTGGGTTCAGGAGCAGCGTCGATAGATTGGTTGTGGCCTGTGCGGGCATGTTTTTACCAGCATTTTTTCTAGTTGAGGACTTAAGCTAGCATCTGCTTTCAGGTGAAATGTCATTTTAAGTTAGTCACAAGCAGTAGTTAACTGAGATTGAAGCTTTCTACCTTGACTGCATCGGATTTCCAGGGAACTTGTGTTGATGATGGATCGTGGAGAGGACGAAGATGAAAGGAGGGAAGTCTAAGAAAAAAAGATTGCGATGAAGGCTCACACATGTACCCCGCTTACACTAACTCTACTCGCTCAGTCCCACAAGCAAGACCAAAGTAGAGTATTCATTGGAGGCAGTCAAGACTCTTGACTAGGTGAGTAGTTCACTATTTACATTTATGCGTCTGTCTTGATGAGTCAGCTGCACAGAACTCACGTCATTAGTATTGTGAGACTGACACCTTGCCGAAAGAAGAAGGTGCTCCGGTGGCAGACTTGCCGAAAGTGAATTCTCGACGCTGCCACTTCGCCTCCATTACACCCTTACGCACCACCCACCTAAACTACAGTAGTTACTCTCAAGCTAGGCAAGCTGCACATATGGTATCATTAGTAGTCAATAGCTGTGCCCCACTGGATGCAGAGTTCCAACAGCAAGGTTCTGAGCGCGTGCCAGCGTTGTCGGCGCCAGAAGCTCAAGGTACGCATCCGATCGGAAAACCTCGTCTCCTGTCCCCTGTGTTGATGGACTTCGAAGTGTGATGTTCAGCGACCATGCACTCTTTGCCGCAGGGCAGGGGCGCAATGTACACCAGGTTCAACTAGTCGCTGGAGGCCATATAGTCCTGTAGCTGCCCATCCAGCCCCCGACCGCCTCCCCGTGCAGCAGCATTCTTGCCAAGAAGCCAGCCCAGTTACTGCTCAACAGACAAATGACACCTCGGAGGCTAGAAGCGCAACAGCAACTGATGATTGCTGGCAATCAAGCTCGATGCTCTCTCTAGTGGATGGGGTGAGTTCCTCTATGATATGGAAACGGGAGCAAAGGCTCAAAATGTCTAGGCATTTCGATTGCACAACACCCCCGCGCCACCGGATCGCACAACAACAGCTATTCCAGGAGGTGATGTACGACATGATAGCCCGGTGGTCCCCAACACTGGAGTTGATGCAGCACCTTCAACGAGCAAAAAGCCCTCTCTGTTCACGCGACAATATGTCCACAACGGTTTGTCCTTGTCTGCCACCGAACTTCTATCATTGATGCCCCCATATGAAGCTGCGAGCTTGCTCGTCGACACGTACTTTGACCGCGCCCACTGGTTCATGTTGATCTTCCAGCAAGATGACTTCCGGCAGCGATGGCCCAAGCTCTATCAGCGCCACCCGGGCCGACCAGCAGAATATTCCAATGCCGCGTTTTTGTCCACCTTTCTCGTGGTCATCGCCATCGGGATTCACTACGTGGGCCCGTATCGGCAATCACTACTAACCAGACACGGCGTCGCTTCAAGTCTGAAAGACCGTATCCTGTCTTGTGTAAGAGCCAAACTTTTGGACGTTATGTCACTCGGCTCGCTGGAAGCAGCGCAGACCTGCGTACTGCTAGGAACCTACTACTTGTACCATGGTTCCCCTCGTCTGGCATGGCCTGTGTGCGGTTGCGGACTCCGCATTGCACAGGCCTTGCATCTGCACCGCCGGTTACGGCCTTTGGGGTCCCCCGATTTTCGCCAGCAGTATGAAACGCGGAAGCGGTGTTGGTGGGCTATATATGAGATCGAGACTTTTTCTGCCGTGGTATACGGCTATCCGCACAGTATATGGGATGCTGATTGCGACGTGGAGCCCTTGGATCCATCAGCCAAGCTGCAGGCGGTGCAGAGTCCGAGAATATCCGACGAACTCCAGGCGCCCAAAACAACATTGCTGTCATACAAACGCCTCATGTCTGAGCTGTCAGTGGTAACAAAAGCAGCACTGGGCGAGTTGTATCGCACCAAGACTTCTCCGGTGGAAGATGGAAAACCGCTTAGGTCGCGACGGGACTTACAGGACACCCTTCAAGCAGTGGCGAGATACAACTCGCGCTTACAGCAGTGGCAAGCTAGGCTTCCCCTCGAACTTCAATGGGACCGAATTTCCGACCACGCGAACTACTCGACCCCAGAGGAGATAGATCGCGATATCGGAGCGACGGGACCGCGCTTCGAGAGCCACATCTATCAGCTACAGGCTATGGCTTTGATGCTGGCGTACGAGAATGCCATGATTCTTACGCACAGGCCTCTTCTGTCTTACAAATTGCACAGCAGCACGGACTCTGAGGCTTCCCGGGCGGGCTCGGAGCAAGCTGATCAGCCAAAGCCTACCCCATTCGTCTCGTCACTGGAGGCCTGTCGTACTGCAGCGCTGAGAATGTCCTCTATCCAGTCAAGTCCAGTTCTGAAGCTTGTCGCCGAGACCTACGCTGTGACCTTCGTCAGCATACATACCTTTACCGCGGGAGTCACCTTGGGTATTCTGTGCAGCATGGATCCCTTGAACCAGCAGTCCAGTGCTTCCAAGCTAGCCCTTCAGAATGTGATGGAGATACAGGAGACGCTGAAATCGCGCTCGGTGGTGGCGGACCAAGGACTAGACATCCTCCAGCGACTGACCAAGCTTATAATGCAGAAGGAGCTGGACATGCTGCTGGGTAAGAGTAAACGCACGACTACGCAACCCAGCAGTCCTAGGAGACCATCCAATCAAGGTTTGCCTGACGAGCTACAAGTTCTCACTGGGGACGTCACATTCGATGTCTCTACTTCGGAGGGCGTAGCGACCCTTGACCGTGGCGTCCCCAGCGCTCTGCCGAGTCGAGATGATATTCCGTACACCAATGACTCTGCAATGACAGAGGCCCTGCACGATTTTGATCAAGGTTGCATCCCTCATTCCTAACTCATTTCCCGAGCTAACACATGGTCTAGCATTGCTATCCTATGCCCCTCAACCTTGCAGAGAACAGGAACAGACGGCAGAAAATCCGATTCTGTGGCCGCCAACCGTGGACGGCTTTCCAATCCTGGAACAGACGTGGTTATGGGATCTCGACAACGATCCCTTCTTTCACGCTGACCTCGGACCTTGACCGCGAATTGCAGAGTCAATTCTGTGGAACTAGAAACCCATGAGTGCTCAAATCTCGAAGCAAAATCACCGAACCTAATAGCCGCCTGTGGTACCCTCCTCCGCCATCGGCTCAAACCACACCTCCACAGGCTCATTTCCAATCCCCCGCTTCCTGGCCTCCTCCAGAATGGCGACCGTGGCCGTGGCCCCGATCCGCGTCACACCCAAGCTCATCACATGCAGCAGATCATCCAACGTCCTCACGCCGCCGGCAGCCTTAATCTGCACCTTCTCCGCGGACTTCTCCCGCATCAACTTCAAATGCGCGACAGTCGCACCCTTGTAATTATACGACCCATCCCCCTGCTTGACGAACCCATACCCGGTCGAAGTCTTGACAAACGCCACTTCCAACTGCGAGCAGATCTCACACAGCCGGGCAATCTGCTCGGGCTGGAGGTAATCATTCTCGAAGATGACCTTGAGGGCGGCCCCGTTGGCGACGACAGCCGCGTTGATGCGGCGGATCTCCTCCGTGACGTACGCCCAGTCGCCGCCGAGGACCTTGCCGACGTTGACGACCATGTCGATCTCGGCGCCGCCCGCCTGGGCCGCGGCGGTGGCCTCGAGGACTTTGATCTCGGTCGTGCTGTTGCCGTGCGGGAACCCGATGACCGGGCAGATGAGGACGTCCGAGCCGGCGAGTTCTTGCGTGGCGAGCGGGATGGCGTAGGGCTTGACGCAGGCGGTGGCGACGTGGTGGGCGCGGGCGATCTGCAGGCCGGCGCGGATGTCGGCGTCGGTCATGGTCGGGTGCAGGAGGGAGTGGTCGATCATTTTGGCCAGCTGGGGCAGGGTCACGGTGATTTTGTTGGACATGGTTGTGAGGTCTTGTTTGGATAGGCTGGTAGACTGAGCTGATGAAGTTGTATTGAAGATTGCTTGGGGTGTCGTGGAGAGTTGGGGTGTTTTATATCCAGGCTGCAAGTACATAAGGTCTGAGCGTCTTCCGGTGGAGGACCTTCCATATTGGGTAATTCCTTCCACCGGTGCAGTTCACAAGTTGTCTGCTGAGAATTCGTTCAAGATGCGGAGATATCGATCTCTTCTGAAGTCTGCGACTCTTATTCAGTATGCTATACGGTATGTCAGCTCCAGTTACAAAGTATAACACGGGGGAAAGGACCCTTGCAGACTGCCTCATACTCGTAGTAGTTAGTAGCAGGCCGGAAAACCCGATCGAGGCCAAATTGACCTGCCCCACGGGGAGGCGGATTAGGGCTCGGCACACGTTCCGTTGGCGCTGTCGATCAGCCAAGCTAAGTATTATCAAATTGGATATCCTGTACAGTATACAGGCGAAGGGATCATGACAAATCGCGAATCGACGTTCAGTCTGTCGATCTCGATCTCAACGATCAGAGCAGAACCTTGCCAGCTGGATGATCAATCCCCAGCCGAGAAAAGCTCGAATGCTGTCGTCTCAACGTCCCAATGCGGACACCTGCCCACAACCCCCTTTGTAAGCATTCCAAATCGCTGATTGAACGTCAGTGCCTGAGGACGAACAAAGGCCTGGACCACAGCCCCGGGTTTTCCGCAGGATGCAAAAGAAGGGGGCGGCACCTGTACCCACGGATGGCTTTGGACAGCAACGGTCATGACATCACGACTGCCCGCCAAGCTCAATCAGCCTATTATCCCACGTTTTATGCCAGGCGGAAGTATGACCCCGTAGGGATGAGCTACCGACCACAAAACCAAGCATCTGCCACACGCCAGCATCCCTGCTTGTTTACCCCCCTTCCTGTTTCTCCCCTTACCCCTGCAGAAACACTTGCCGGCTACAGCATGCAAAGATGTCGAGCGAACACATCATCCCGGGACGACCCAATGACCACGAAAAAGCCGCCGACGACCCCAAACCAGACAGCCTGTACGAGGCGTACGAGATCGAGCTCCAGAGCTCGGCGGGCGGCAGCATCCGCTTCGGGGACTTGATCGCCGGCAAGGGGTCGAATATCACGACCTTGGTGATTTTCAGTGCGTTGGCCTAGCCATCCCCATCCCCATCCCCCCCTTGGATCTGGCATAGACATATCCCCCTGCTCTGCTCATCAACCTCAATCCTCCCCGCCATCTCAGCCCATGCTCCCCCTCAGTCCACTAACATCCACGTCCCCCCACGGGGGGGGATAAAAGTACGCCACTTCTTCTGCATCTACGACCAATCCTACGTGCGCACGCTCTCGTACCACCTGAGCGACAGCCTGCTCGCCTCCCTCCCCGACCCAGGCAGCGGCGGCCCCTGCCAGGTCATCATCATCGGCTGCGGCGACCCCGCCCGCATCATCCCCTACGTCGCCGAGACCGCCGCCCGCTTTCCCGTCTACACCGACCCCACCGGCCGCATCTACTCGGAGCTGCGCATGAACCGCTCCGTCCGCGGCATCACGCGCCCGCCCGCCTACACCGAGGTCTCGTTCGTGCGCGCCCTGGGCCGGACCCTGCGCCAGATGTTCTCGGCCGGGGGCTGGCGGCGTGCGTTCCGCGGAGGGCCCTGGAATTTGAATGGCGGGGAGTGGGTGTTCAAGGGGGGACGGTGCGTGTATGTCCATCGGATGGAGAGTGTGGGCGATCATTTGACGGCGGGGCAGTTGTTGGAGGCTTTGGGGGAGGGAGAG